CCCAGGTTGGTATCAGTTATCATAAGATAACCTCAACAATCCCAGGTTAGTATCACTTATCATAAGATAACCTTAACAATCCCAGGTTGGTATCAGTTATCATAAGATAACCTCAACACTCCCAGCTAAGCCCCTGAAGAATTCCTCCCTGAAGCCTAGAAGTGCTATTAAATCTCATCAACCGTAGATAAACCATAGATGGACTTCAGCCGTCACAGTTCAACTTCAACTATGCCAGATACACACTTGTGATCTCAGCTAAACTAGAGTAAGTTTAGCTCAAACCTTGCAATCTCGTCTAATCCCAAGTGAATCCCAGTAACCTCATAAAATCACCACCAATCCTAACTAACCCACAATAATCTCTATACTGCACTCCCATCTAAATCCCGGCTAAACCCAGCAATCCCAGTTAATCCAACAAACCTTAACGGAAACCAGTAATCCGAATTAAACCAGTTTGGATTACTAGTAAATTAAACTATTGAATTAAAACTCGATTGCAAGGGGATCTCACCCCCAATGATACCTAAACCCTACAATACCAGTTAAATCCCAGTAAACCGCAGAAGACTACAGGTAAACCCACACGGCTTCACGGAAACCTCAACAATAAGCTGAGGACTCAGCCAAGCCACAATAGCTCCGAGGAACCGAGCCTAAGCCTCCCTAATTATGGCTAGATACCAACCATCCTAATCAGAGGCTATCAGTCCTAGGTAAGTCGAACCATTCCCAGCTAAATCCTCGTCTATGTCTTATCAAACCGACCCAATAACCTACTCCACCTAAGCCATGTCAGTCCTACTTAATACTTATAATTTTTCACTAACCCCCCCCCCTCCAATTCCACCTAAACTCCACTTAATTCCCATTATATCCACCTAAGCTCTTCCCATACCCCCACCAAATGCCCACCATCTTCACCAAACCCAACCAATTCCACCTAAACTCAAATAGTACATTTACCTCAACTAAAGAATATTTACATAACAATTCCAGAGTTATGCCAAGAGTGCCGTTATGCACTCTTAGCATAACTCTGTGTGCATAAGAGCCAGAGTGCACTGTCATAACAAACTGGGCTTCAAACACAGCTGGGCTAGTCAAGCCCTACATCGCCTCATCACAACAGCAAACAGTCCCACTGCTCCTCTGACCTACATATATAAGTACATATTACGTCAGCAGCTGCAGCGTCTGCGCCTTCACATCCCGCTTACGGGGCCTACCAAATATTAGTTGGAAAACTGGGAAATGAAAGGGAGCTAAATATGCAACTTGTTACAGAAAATGGTTGCGTGATGCGGATTCATGTGCGAACGGTGTGTGGCGGGATTAATTGCCGTCTGGAGTCACGAACACCCGGATGTATGAGCGGAAACACCGGATGATTTGCCTCATTATATCCCGTTTTGTGTGTGTACTCACCTAGTTGTGCTTGCGGGGGTTGAGCTTTGACTCTTTGGTCCCGCTTCTCGACCGTCAATCAACTGGTGTACAGATTCCGGAGCCTACTGGGCTCTATCATATCATTTGAAACTGTGTATGGAGTCAGCCTCCACCACATCACTTCCTAGTGCAATCCATTTACTAACTACTCTGACGCTGAAAAAGTTTTTTCTAATGTCTCTGTGGCTCATTTGGGTACTCAGTGTCTCTTTGTGCGTGTACCACCCGTGTTAAATAATCCATCTGTAGCGAGTAAACCTATACTCACTCCATTATCTCATCATCTTAATGGCATAACTAATTACACAAGCTATAATCCTATCCCTATTTACAGGTAACGGTTTTTCCACCCTCCTATCTCACTGTGAGGTGTAGTAACCCTATATAAGCCAGCGATTTGAGAATAGCAAACACCATTTGGTTACCACTTGGTCCGGGAGACATCTCCCGTCACGCAGGGTGCAGTTGCGCCTCCACAGATCTCCAGTATCATCTTTTGATACTGGTAATGGCTCGAAAGGGCCACCACTTACGGGCTATTCATGCCCGTGCCACCTCTTGGGTGGCTTAATCTTCATCAATCGAATAGGAAACCAGTACAATCTCCAGTCAAGAATGTAGTACTCGGCGTAGGCAGTTCTAATCGACCCAAGACACTACAGCTTCGACACAGAGCAGGCAGCAGACTACGACCTCATCCAGCTACAACGCTCTCCCACACAGAGCTCCGCGACTCCGGCCACACTCAGCTCTCTGCTCTGCTCCAAGCTCCGTCTCAACGTCTACGACACTGCTGTCTCCAGGACTACTAAATAAATATGAAACTCACTAAACACTGTGTATCTAATCAACCCAACAACGTAACATAACCGTACGTTACACATCCTTATCTACCCTGTCAATTCCCCTGAGAATTTTATATGTGGTGATCATGTCTCCCCGAGCTCTTCTGTCTTCCAGCGAGAGGTGCAGTTCACTCAGTCTTTCCTCAGTGTGTATGTGTGTGTAATTACCTAAGTGTAGTTACAGGATGAGAGCTACGCTCGTGGTGTCCCGTCTTCCCAGCACTCTTTGTCATATAACGCTTTGAAACAGTCTGCAGAATCGAGCTATTAGCTCTTGGACCCCGCCTTTCTAACCAATCTATTTTTCTATTATATCCGCTATAATATATTATATATAATATTATATCTATATAATATATAATAATAATAATAAGAAATATAATATCTATAATAATATATTTTATAATTTAAATTTTATACTATAATATTATATCTATAATATAATACATATACATATAATACATATTATATCTATAATATATATTTTCCTATTATATCTACTACATATATATCTCTCTCTATTTTTCTCTCTAACACATATCCCCAGGAAGAAGGCGTAGCAGCTGTCTAACTCACAGGAACTTATTGCCTGCTAGGTGAACAGGTGCATCAGGGTGAAAGAAATTCAGCCCATTTGTTTTGCGCCTCCGCCGGGAATCGAACCCGGGCCATTGTGTGTGTAACTACTTAAGTGTAATTATCTAATTACACTTAGAAGTATACTTAGTGTGTGTGTACTCACCTAGTTTTGCTTACTGGGGGTTGAGCTCTGGCTCTTTGGTGTGTGTGTGTGTGTGTGCGTGTATTCACCTAGTTGTATTCACCTAGTTGTGCTTGCGGGGGGGTTGAGCTCTGCTCTTTCGCCCCGCCTCTCAACTGTCAATCAATTGTTACTAACTAATATTAGTTTCATTCCACATGGGAATAGTGTCTGTGGGAGCCGGTGGCTGAGCGGACAGAACATTTGACGCGTGATCCTGTGGTCCCGGGTTCGATCCCGGGCGCCGGCGAGAAACGATGGGCAGAGTTTCTGTCACCCTGATGCCCCTGTTACCTAGCAGTAAAATAGGTACCTGGGAGTTAGTCAGCTGTCACGGGCTGCTTCCTGGGGGTGGAAGCCTGGTCGAGGACCGGGCCGCGGGGACACTAAAGCCCCGAAATCATCTCAAGATAACTACTATTTTTTCCCACACCACACACACACACACACACACACACCAGGAAGCAGCGCATGACAGCTGACTGACTCCCAGTTACCTATTTACTGCTAGGTAACAGGGCCATCAGGGTGAAAGAAACGCTGCCCATTGTTTCTCGCCGGCGCCGGGAATCGAACCCGGGACCACGGAATCACGCGTCCAGTGTGCTGTTTAGTCAGCCACCGGCCCCCCTTGTGTGTGTGTGTGTACTCACCTAATTGTACTCACCTAATTGTGCTTGCGGGGGGTTGAGCTTTGGTTCTTTGGTCCCGCCTCTCAACTGTCAATCAACTGGTGTGTGTGTGTGTGTCTCAAACTAATTTAATACCAATTCCTACCAATGGCAGGACTGAAGCAACATACACTGTAATTGGGAATAATGCATTTCAAAACGGAGAGAATTATCAGAGGGAAAGAGCCAAGCCATTACGACTATATAGTACTTGGAAGGGCTCAGGATAAGGATTTGGGATGGAACGGGGGTGAAGGAATGGTGTCCAACCGCTTATACGGTCGGGGATTGAACGCCGACCTGCATGAAGCGAGACCATGGCTCTACCGTGGCTCTACCGTCCACCCCAAGTGGTTGGGCTAATGAAAAAAAAAAGCCCGCATTGTCAACTACGCCTCTTCAACGCATGCAGAGCTAACTGACAATGTTATGGCGTTAAGAAGCTATGAAAGAAACACTAACATATATAAGTTATCACTACAAATGCAACACTACAAAACCTTAGTAAAAAACAGGCAGAAAACTTGTCAATATTCGCTGAAATCGAGAGAGCTGTGAGAGTGCTAACTAATCACTCCAATGTTATAAAGTTTAACTTGGTTGTCAAGCGATTAGCAGTCCCCATTGCGTAGTGGTAAGACACTCGCCTGACGTTTCGCGAGCGTTTTGTCCTGGGTTCGTATCCTGGCCGGGGAGGATTTACTGGGCATCAATCCTTAACTGTTTGTTGCCTCTGTTTACTCAACAGTAAAATGAGTACCTCGTTGTTAAACGATTTTGTTGATCGTATTAAGGGGAAAATTAGGATTAAGGACTTGCCCGGAACGTACAGTAATGCGTTCTTGTGGCTGTACAACAATGTAAGAACTCTTGTATAAATAAATAAATCAAATTAGAGTTATTACCAGGCAACATCGCCGTGCCAAGGTAACTGAGGAAAGGAGGATAGAAACACAAATAACAAATTATTAAAATCAGCGAATCTGTACGCTGGTACAATGTGGTTGCAGGTGACAATCCCAATCATTATAGATGAAGATTGTTTAGTCATACTTGTTATGTTTTACACATTTTATATTTAGTATCTTTGTGCAACTTGGCACATTGTCATTTATACCAACAAATAAATCCTATTAATAAAATGGAAATAAACTAATCTAACATGGATATGAATTTATTATAAAACATCAAAGCTAATAACTATATTACAAATTTTACAGCCTCTCTTAGAGAACTTATAATGAGTAGGGAGCGGAGAAGTGTCAAGAAAAGCCTGAAGGGAAGTGTGAGGGTGTTGGCAGCCCTGGGTGATGACAGCGGATGTAAACACGACATGACTTCAAGGGGCTGGGCAGGCTTCACGGAGGAAGATATTCATAATGTACAAAAGGGCAGTGTCTCACGAGATGGTCAAGGTAATAAGGCAATGCGCAGGCACCTCTTTATGTATAATATTGCTCGAATGTGTCATTTTGCTTTTATGTTAACTTCAAAACATGTTTGTAGGAAAGTTTTTGCCAAGAGCCTCGTGTTGAAGTATATTGGTTTTGTGTTTGTAGGTCCGCCCAATGCAAATTTAAATAATTTTTTTTGAATAGATGTACATCAGTAAACTTGTACAATATTTTCTCCATTTTTTTGTAGATTGACGATACCATGTGAATAGCACCAGTCAGTATCACGGTACGAGGAAATAACATTGCCTAACTCAATTAACCAAACCTGCTTAATCTAACCTTATACTATGTACTCCCTCTAAACAAGGCACCGGAACACTTAGACACGTCTGTAGCCCCATGTTGGACTTGACATTAAACTTTGAGGTGTGCATTTACTCTCAGTCCATTCACCTGGACCCTAGAGTCTCAAACCATGGACCTCACACGTGTGAGACCGAAGCTTTATTTTATGAGCATTTGCCGTTTCCTCATCATGAATTTAGTGGCTGGTGCTATTATCACAATATGGTAAAATTAACAACAACATTGTTTTATAAATTTTAATTGGATTTGTTGAAATTTATAAGTTTTTTGGTCTTTATATACTAGTCTTTGAAGACTATAGTCATTTTGTAGATTCACTACAAAATTTAATGTAATTTTAATACAAAATTTTTATACAAAATAATGTACACTGGCAGTTTACTAATAAAAATATAAATTATCTAAAAGAAATTACTTTAATTTACCCAGTTGTGTGCACTAGATTGCTTTTGTCCTACATGTAATTTTGGTTTCTATGACCTTATGGAGGCTGTGCAGTTCATGGGTTAAGTTTTTTCTTTAGTAATGCTGCATAGATACAAAACTTTTAACTTGTGTTTTTGTGTTTTTATGCTAAATTTCATTGGTTATGAAATTTTGTTTCCCCAAGTGTCTGCAGCATACTTTTACCTAGGTTAGTTTAATTAACTTTGTAGTCTGTATTTAGGTAAATTTGTAGCCTATAGTTAGGCATACTTTTCTTATCGACTATATGTAAGAGGAGGAGTTTTTGTATCGGCTGCATGTAAGAAAGAATGTAAGGAATCACATGGAAAAAGATAATACACAAGGGTAGAAACAAGAAGAGTAGGGGAAAATTTTGAAAAAAGTAATGAAGTAGAATTAATTTTAAGTAATAAAGTAAAAAAGTAATTTTGAAGATTTGAAATTTGCAACAGACAACTGAAGAAGCTCCTTTTAAGGAATGTAGAAGGATCATCTCAACCAACGTATTTCTTAACATAGATGCCATCTAGTTAAGATAAACCAGAACCATTATAGTTTTGCAACTTGATGTATTTTTTGTTGATGGGTTTATTGTACTTGCAGCATCATATCAAAGGTCCGAGTTACACCAGGCCAGGCTACTCTTCTCAGGAAAGGCATCAACGAAAGAGAAATTGGGAAGGTCTAGGTCGGCTAAAACTCTGCACAATTATTCACCAATTCCATTACAAGCCAGACTCTCCCAATCTCAGGTAAGTAAATATGGAATATTTATTTTGCCAGTGGCATAGTGCAGTGGATGATATTTACATCTCTTGGCTATTCAGGTTAGAGCCAGCACTGGATAGCTGTTCATGCCAACAGCTGCACCTTGAGCTGCTGTATGGGGACCTCAATTAGCGAAACAGGCTTAATATCGTCTTCAATAATACACTGTAGTATTTGGCTCATGAGTAATGTATCACACGTCCTCTGATATAGTGGTAAGTTCAGTTAGGTTGCAGCCAAAGGTCCCGCTTCGATTCCTGCTATAGAACGGAAGTGTTTGGGCAATGTTTCCCTCTGTTCACCTAGCAGTAAATTTATATCCTGAATTTAGGCAACTGTTTTGAATTGCATCCTGGGAAAGGTTAGTCATTGGCCTAGGGGGGACCTCAGTAATCCTTACAGGCTTTCCATCCTCAACAGTAAGAAACCATAAGAGATTGTAGCGAGTAGATTATCCCAATAATATACTTGCTCCAAATGCATTAGCCTAATGAGAGAAGCAAAGCTCTTCTTGGTACTAATTATGGCCCTCAGACCATTCCCAACTTCCTCATACTATTCCCGTCAACCTTTGGAGAACGGTAAGGTGTTCCCCGAGCATAAAAGCAGCGGAGTGGCGAATAATAACTAGTCTACTTTCAAGTGTGGTCTAGAACAGACACTTGCGAGATACTGTACTGATGCTCGGTGCGCTCAACTCACACCAAAGTATCACCTGTGTACTTCTGTATATTCGACCAAATATATATATTATCTTAGTGTTTGTGTTTATTGTCACCATACTTTACGTAACAATAGAACCGTTACAAGATATTACAACTGATGTTAATGCATGTCCAAGATTTCTTTAATGCTGGACCACCTTTGTGTGCAGGTAGGCTAGGATAGGCATGCTAGTATCTCACAGTACAGTAGTTATCAACAACATAAAATGGGTAAAGAAACGTCACAAGATCTTGAGATCTTGTCAGATATAGGTCATGTCTGATTTCGACTCGGTGGTGCAGGGAAATAAAGATTATTAGTTCATCACATATATTTATTCAAATATGAGGTAGAAGGGATTTCCTGAAACACCATGTGCCAGAAAATATTTTTTTATTTTTCATATAAATAATAATAATAATAATGAAATACTATACTGTATATGCAAAAGTAAAAAAAAAATACTAAAATACAGGTATACTGATCTAGTAAAGATCATTATGTCGGCCCTTGTAAGTGCTAACATAAGATTTTCTAATTACCTTTGTGTAATTACAATAGGTCTTGCATTGGTGCTTGGAAACATTATTGAGCAAATTTAGCCATGTGAACAACATTGGTATTCAAACATTGATGCAAAATGTTGTTCTTCATTGACAATGACCATATTGCACTAGCTTGACAATTTTAGAGTACTGCATACAGTATTCTGATTTAAAATAATTCAATAAATAATTTATTTGTAGTTTTTCTTGAATATATAGATGCAGCTTTAAACCTGTTTAATACAATACAGTATGTTCTTAAATCTTTGCAAAGGTTGTTACAGTACCTAATACAGAAATTTTGAATATTAATTTATATTTATTACAGACAGGAAATGTATTAGATTTATCAAGATTTTCCTAGTTCAACGACTGACCTCTAAGATGCTGCCTCTGCACTTTGACATTAAGTGACGTACAGTTTCGGCTGTTGACAGGCACAATAAAGATAAATGCGTTTAGGAATTGTGTATAAAGAAGAGGAATTAGTGATTAGCAGATTTTACATTACATAGGTTTGGCTACAACACAACCTATTTTGTGAATTAAGAGGAGCAGACTTCATATTGTGTATTCAGATATTTTACAGCACCTTATTGGTTCTGTGGAAAGTTAGAGGGAGATATATAGCAATGACCATCTTGAGGTTATCTTGAGATGATTTCGGGGCTTTAGTGTCTCCACGGCCCGGTCCTCGACCAGGCCTCCACCCCCAGGAAACAGCCCGTGACAGCTGACTAACACCCAGGTACCTATTTTACTGCTAGGTAACAGGAGCATAGGGTGAAAGAAACTCTGCCCAATGTTTCTTGCCGGTGCCTGGGATCGAACCCAGGACCACAGGATCACAAGTCCAGTGTGCTGTCCGCTCGGCCGACCGGCTCCCCTTTCATGCTTTCTTATCTGGGAAACTTTCTTCTATGTGTATCAAGACTATTTATTATAGGAATTTATTTTTTGACATAAAGACTAGGGAAAGCACTGATGCTTTAAGTGTACAATACTGTATTTAAAATCATGATATTGCCTATAGTAGTTTCAAAATCCATGTTTTAGGAAAAACAATAAATATTTTCTACTTTAAGAATTTTCAGCATATTATTAATAATTAAAAATGAGGTATACAGTACAGTACTGTATGTTTCAAAATCATTATTATTATTAAAATGTAGATTTAGCTTAAATACATTACAGTACTTAATTGTCACATTGAATTGTTTAAATGAGTTAGGACAGGAAATGCTGATGTAAAATAACTGTAAAGAATTGAAAAAGTATAAATAATAACTCCAGTTTTGCTCTCTAGGAGTTGGAACCTGCCAGCCCATCACACTCATCGGGGCACAAGTCCCCAGATTCACTGCAGAGTTCCTCGTCACAGTCAGAGTCTCCTGTACCTCCCTCACCATGCAAATCACCAACAGGTAAGTACAGTACTATGGTACAAATGTGTTTTTTTTATTTACACAAAATACAAAGTTTATATGGAAATTAAAATTTTTGAATCCCTCAAAATGGGATTCTGAAAGGGATAAATCCCGGCCCCTGCTCAGGAAGCTCCAAAACTCATGATATGGTACAGTAATTGTACTGTATTGGTGTTACAACAACAGTAGGGTGTACTGTATAGTACTTCAGATGACCTTAACATTATTGTAATTTCCTACTAAATTTTGAGCATAATCTTTATTGAAGATAGCAGTCTCAGCAGTCTCCATGGTGTAGTGGTAAGACACTCGCCTGGCGTTCCGCGAGCGCTATGTCATGGGTTCGTATCCTGGCCGGGGAGGATTTACTGGGCGCAATTCCTTAACTGTAGCCTCTGTTTAACGCAACAGTAAAATGTGTACTTGGATGAAAAAACGATTCTTCGCGGCAGGGGATTGTATTCCAGGGACCTGCCCGAAACGCTACGCGTACTAGTGGCTGTACAAGAATGTAACAACTCTTGTATATATCTTAAAAAAAAAAAAAAAAAAAATAATGTTTCTGTTCCAAAAAAATCTTAAACATAGTAATATTTTAATCCCTTTCAATCTTTATACAGTACCATGTTTAAGAGGTATATCTATAAATATAAAAGTTTGTGTCTCGTCGCACATTGAACAATATATTCCCTTGGCAATTAAATAGACACTGATAAACACTTGCCAGTGGTTAAGAAAGAACATTTTCAAGGCTGGGGGTGTAGCCACCAGATGTATGATGAATCAACTTGCTGAAAATGAAACATTAATGAATTCATTAATGAGGCAGTCATATAAGTATGGCAAGCATCATGGCTGTAGTGAAAATCACTTTCATATGTGCACAATATTTCATGCACCCTGAAGGGGTTATGGCATTGTTTCAACCAGAGCCTTTATTATAAATGTTTAGATTTCAAGGGGTCTGGAACTAAAGTAAATGCATTTGAGATATTTGAAAAAAATATTTTGTTAAGCAATAGCTTGGTAAGCCTCAGCCACTTATGGGATCTCTTGTGTGCAGGAAGTAAACAAAGTAACTTCCTTTATTAATTTTTTTTTTACGGTTTAGTAATATGCGCCACCTTCTTCACATTCACATTACATTTTTTATCTCTTTGTTTCCTTTTGTATTAATTTTTGCCTTTGTATATCCCATAAGGGTGGTTCCGCTCATGGTTTGTGCTAGCCCTTTCGCGGTTTTTAATTATGTGGACAATAGTGTGTAGTGTTTTACAATATACAGTAATAAGAAAAAAACCTCAGAATCGAGTTACTATATCACAAAAGTTGTCATGGGAAGGTCTCTTTAAATTCAGTCAGAAAGGCAACCTGATCGAACATTTGAGAATCCACACAGGCGGAAAACCCTTTATGTGTGATGTGTGTGAAAAAAAATTTGTCACTGTGTCAAGTGGGACTCGTTTCATTGATGTCACCTCCAGCCTTCCCATACTGGACACATACTCAACAGCAGTTACTGTTAAAAATTAAGTGAGACTAGCCCCAATTGTCTGGCCTCCAACCTCTGATGCAGACAAATGCATTCTAATGTATAGACAGATTTATTTAAGAAATCTTTGATGAAGTGGATTTAAGATATGTGCCTGAGAACATTTGGGTCATGGAAGACCAAAACCTTATTGTAGCAGGGAAGATGGGGGCATGTATTTTATTTTACATCTTTCTCTTGATATAATTTTCTGTCTGTGAACAGGTGTATAATGAGAGCTACAGGAAAGTGAAGACATTAATTACCAGTTATTGTAAAACATTAACAGTTTTGATCTGCAACTTGGCATTCACAAATTATTCTATGAATAGTATTATGTCTAAAAGTATGATTGTAGTGTATTACAAGCATTCTCCTATTGTTTTCAGGTAGTCATGCCAAGAATGTCAAAATCCGCCTACGAGACAATAACTCGTACGAATTGATATCAACGAATGGATCACTTCTGGAGGACCATCCACTTGGCTCAAAGGTTGAATCTGATTGCTCAATAGAGGAAAATATGCTTAACGAAGAATGTGAAAAAGATGGAGAAGAAAAGCCATCACTAGAAAAGTTCCAAAGGCTTCAAAAAATGATGGAAGAGCAGAATAAACACAGAAGAGAATTACTTGTTAAGGCAATTGCTGATAGGTATGTTAAAAATAGTTTTTTGTGTCATGAAGATGTTACATAAATGGTAGCAAAATATTTAGTACCAAAGGATTATTTTGGATCTGGAGAAGATTTATGACTAGGAGTGAAAAAGATTATGATGGAGCCTTCTGACATCGATGACAAATGTTCTGACAGAAAAATGAGGGTGGTGATCAGAGGCACTGTATCAGACTGGAGAAATGTTACAAGTGGTGTACCTCTGGGTTCAGTACTAGCACCAGTAATGTTCATTGTCTATATGAGTGATCTACCAGAAGTAATGCAGAATTGTATGACAGGTTTGCTGATGATGCCAAGCTTCTAGGGAAGATAAGAAATTTATGTGACTGTCATGCCCTTCAAGAAGACATGGACAAAATAAGTGTATGTAGCAACACTTGATTGATAGAATTTAATGTGAATAAATGCTATATTATTGAATGTGGAATAGGAGAACACAGGCCCCACACAACATACAAATTATGTGACAAGACCTCAAAGACCTCTGATAAAGAAGTCTTTGACTGTCTGTCTTTCATCAAGTTGGGAGTGTTTTTTGCAATTGGCACACTGTTGTTTGCATGTCCAACTAAGTAGTGCTAACACAAGATCAATAAGAACCCTTTGACTAATGACACCTAGTAGTATGACACTGAATCAGTATAATAGCTTCAGGGAGCCCCCAGGGTTCATCCAGAAATTGGCATTTCATTGCATTCAACACTGTTTTTTTTTTTTTTTTTTTTTTTTTTTTTTTTTTTTTTTTTTTTTTTTTTTTGAATTGTATACTGTTTTTTGTGAAAAATCATGTGTATATTTATGCTGTAACTTACAATGACTACCACATTTGCAGGAGTCGACGCACGCAGTCAGAAGCACAGAAGTTGAAGCAAATTCAGTCCGAGTTGGCCAAGTTGGATTCACTTTTGTCGTCTGATGTGTCTATCCTTCGAGACCAGATAGAAGTTGCTAGCTTGGAATTTAATGAGGCACAGTTAGTGTGATACAGTGTATTGTACAATATGTTAAATTTAAATTGCCATATAATTCACTGGGTATCAATTAGCTGTGTACTTGGTATATCAGTGGCATTTCTGGAGGGGGCCACTCATTGACTCCCAGAGCTAGCCACCTGGTTAGCTCCACATCTATTATGGCACACCAGGCCCTTAAGAATCATAAAACCTTACCATATACCAGAAGCATACTCTGTTCTGCTCAGTAGAGGTGCAGGGAGTCTGAGGGTACTATATAAACCCAATCCAAGAAGAAAAACTTCAAAAAAAGATAAAGTACCCCAAAACGAGCAACTACAAAAAGTAACATTGGCAACCGTGTCGACTAGATAAACACTCGTTACCTAGTTATCACCACCCATGGTTAAACCTCCCTATCGCCAGATAGCTGCCGTGGTAGCCCAGGGATCAAGCCTGTGAGCTAACTCAGCTATGCGCCTGGTGGGGTTTCCACAACAGATCCTTCATGTTCCCCCTCCCTTCCTGGTCCATGGTTTTCCAAATAAGTGTTGATTATCCTTCTGGACTCTTGTCAAACAGGGGACTGTGTTTGTATCTGTTCCAGTTCTTATACCGCTTCACGTGTTTTTGGCTCACTTATTGTGTGAACCTCGAGTCAAATATTAGCCTTGACTGCATGTGACTAGGGGTCACTTATTGGTTATTACTGGCATTGCCCCCTATCCAGAGTTACTTCTCTGGGAAAGTCAGGTGTTATCACATTTTCCCTTGACAACACAGCCCAAGGGACCCCAGTACACAGCTGGAGGACTCCAACTCGCGTTTGGTTGCCCCGAGAGCAGTGGAGTACACTGAAGATTTACATGCCCTCCATCTACTGGCCTGCTTGCCTTCCGGCCTGTTGTAGGCCTTCCAGTTTTCAGCACCAGCAAAGTGCATAGCAGGATGCCAACAAACACAGTACTATATAATGGGATACTGGATACTCCACCCAGTGACTACTTACAAATTATCACCTGAACTCAAATGGGGCTTTAATGCAGAGCCACTGAACAAAAGGGAAGGTATTTTACCCTTTATGACTTATCAATAACTTACTACACTGTATATACTCCTCTGTTAAGGACTCATAAGGCTGATGCACTCGTGTTTGGAGCTAATTCAGCGAGCTAGTTACAGGGAGCCACTAAGGCTCTACATGAAAGTGGCATTTCATTGCATTCAATGCTGGCTTTTTATTGTCTGCTTTTCTTGCTTTTATAATTGAATAGTATTATTTAGTTCATGAAGGCTATATATGTACTTAAAATATTTAGGACCTTGCATCTTCAGTGCAGCATTCATAACTATTGTTAATATGAAGATCAGTTTTATCCATCTGTTTGCCTGCATGTCCATCTGTGCAACTTTCCATCCATTCATCTATTTGTATATTAGCAATTTATTTTATTTTATGGTAGAAAGCGGTATGACAAGGCAGAAAAGGAATTCATTGAAGCTAAACTACAATTGTTTGGTAAACTGGAAAAGAAAGAACTCCTTACAGAGCATCTGTGCCGAATCATTGAAGCCAATGAACGAAGGAAAGCCTGTAAACTCTCAGAACTTATGGCCAAGTTGGAGATGGAAGATGTTTCATCTGAAATTGTTAATGCTAGTACTGAGGAGGTAGGTACTGTAGTACTTATTTGATGGAATAATACATGTGTAGGTGTGATAATTCTGACAGTTGAAACAGTATTTCTGGGGGGAGCCTAAGAATATTTTTGGGGGAAAGCCATCTCACTGAGATGACTCCCAAATATTAGGCCACATCAGCTGTAGAGTTCTGTTTGGCCTGTCAGAGACCAGAGTCAGAACTTGGCACCTCACAGAGGCACAGAGAGCAGGTGACACACTGCCACCCCACCAGGAAAGCATCGAAAAAGTTAGTGAATCAATAAAGATCACTTCTGTGTTAATAGAGACCAAAGCCTTAAATCTGCCAAATGAACTGCCCCAAACAATGTAAACAAACGATCAAATCTCTCAAAACTAGCATGAACACATTAGCACCCCTCTTGCCAGGTGGGGTGGGGGTCCAGAGCTTCAAGTCTCCCCAGGGCCTCTTAAGCCAGTTCTGTCTCTGATGCAGACATGATTAATTGTCATCTGTTGGGTTCTCAGGTCATCAGCATGCCACATGGGCTCCCTGCTGCTACTATACCAAGTGCCAGCAATCCATGGACTTTGTCAAGTGGGAGGGGGGGCATTTCCTGTGTGCCATTTCTCATGTTTTCTGTGTTTTTTGTTTATAGAACTTTTCTGGCATGTTTTCTATCTAATTTGTTCTCTGTGGTCCAGGTGCTCCTTGGTGGCCGGCTCTGCCTTGGTTTCAGTCACAGCTTGCATGGTGTACGAACTCGACCATGTTTCTGCCGCTTTCAGAAAATTGACCCAGTGAAACATCTTACTGGTTCAAATTTCTCTTTAGCTCTTCGCATGTGGTCTTTTTGACGCATTTTGATTGCCATTTCTATGGTGAACAGGTGGCTGAATTGATGGGAGTTCCTCCTGCATTCATATTCCTAGCAGCAGTATGAGGTAGCTTGGTGCTATTTTTACCACTTTCTTTTTCTTCATCGTCTGTCTTCTGTCTCCATTTGAGTGACGCTTTTGCTCCTTTCTTAGTTGTTTCTTGACCAGCATAAATTGCTGAATAATATTGCCTCATGTCGTTCAGTGCAGGAGGAGCTGCTGCTGCTTGCATTCTGCATAGATACTGCCTTGGCATTGTCTCAAAAGCTGTCTTGCACATTATTTTACTTCCAGACTGTTTATGCGCCACCTGAGCCCTTCTAGTCTCTTGACCGTGCCCTCGCATTTCCTTCTTGTCCTCAGTTTACGGTGTCCTCGGGTCAATGCTTGCTTTGTTGTAGAGTTGGAAAGGTTCATGCTCTTTTTCAGAAATGTGCTTTTTATTCATTTTTGTCCCTGGTGGGTGTTATGCTCATTGCAGCTATCTCCTCCTTTTCTGGTGAAGAATGAATCAGCAGGCTTCTTGAGCAATCCTTCAGTTATTGACACTTGGCTGGTTTGGCTAGGGGAAATGCATCATGTAGAATTGGTGGATACCTTTTGGGTTGAATCTGTTTCCTTGGGCCCCTGTTCCAAGGCTCATGTTTCTCACATCGTCTGCAGTGTCATCACGTCCAGCCACCCTATGGTTTACCCTCGTGCCAATGATGCTTGTAAATGTATGTTCTCGCTACAATACTTACCTGTCAGTTACTACAGGGAAGTGAGATCTAGTTTCTTATGCCCAGCCTCCTAGTTCTTTATTCCTGGCATGCTAATTTCCCCTCTCACTATTAATGTTTTTGTTAAAGTTATGGATAGAAATCCACTTTCCTACCACCCGTACAGGCAGTGAAAACTTTCTTCCATCTCTTCAACTAAATTACATATCCAGCTATTGTCTACCCCTGTGGCCCTTGATGTTTGCAAATACACTGCTTTTACAGTATTTTTTAATTTGGGCTTAGGAGGTTTTGGTGGTCTAACAGGGTCATGGCAGCCAGGTATTTAGTCAAAGTCCATGGTACTTGTGCATCCTTTGTGTTTGACCAACGGCTGGGATGTGTTTCACAGCCGTTGGTCTCTCCTTCGAATTATTACCTGCTGCTTCTCCTCCTCTCTGGTAAATCCCTTAATTTTTCTCTTTGGCTATTTAGCTACAGAATACTACCAAGGGAATTTCCCCAGAAATCCCAGGGACCAGAGCTACCAGAACTCCAATAGCTCCCTGTTTCCCTTCCAGTTTTGTTGGTTTGTTGGGGTGATTTTAATTGCTTCAGAACTGAGTAGTGAGTAGTCACCTGGTGGCAATGATCAGTACTAATGGGTTTAAGCTAGTTTTGAGTCAATTATTTGGTTTGGTTGAATTATTTGGGGAGTTGTTTTGCAGTTTCAAGGCTTCAAGTCTTGCGATCCCAGCAGTTGTCTGTAAAGCTTTGCTGACTTTCTGGTTGCTTTCCCGGTGAAATGGTGGAATGTCATTTGTACTCTGTGCCCCTGTGGGAAGAGGCCAGGTTCTGGCTGTCCCCCGGTAAACGAAACAGAACTCCCATGTGCCTCTGGTACTTGTAGTATGGAGTAATCTCGTGAAGATAACTACAGGGACTCTATCAGAAAAAGGCATTTCACTACATTCAAGTCTGGGATTTTTTATTCTGATACATAAAGGTTGTCTTATGGTTGAATAAAAATATAGAATTAATATGTTCAATAATTCTATGAAAGATTGAGCCTGTTTAATGCTGTGTCAATTAGGAATGTTTAATGAACAAATTCACAAGGGCCATGATGAGGGTTTGAACCTACGCACGGGATGTTCCCAGATGCGCCTTGGTCAACTGTACCACGACATGGTGAAATGGCCCTTGTGGATTTATTCATTTGATATGTCATGCTATTGTGATTTCTGTGTGTATAGGAATATTTAATGTTTGGGTACTGTTGCAGGTTTTGCCTCAGCTGGCCAGCTTGGATGAGGTGACCTATGCAGCTTGCACAACTATTAAAGATCCCAAGAAAACCAGCTTAGCTCTACAGATGGGCATTGCCAAAATAAATGGTGATATTTCTATAGAAACTGTTAAGGAACTGCTGGAAGAAGGGAGAGGAATGCATGTTGTGAATAATGAGAGGATCCCAGAAATTGATGGTGAAAGAAAAGAAGATTCTCCAGCTGACAGCAGAGAGAAGACTTCACAAACAGATGCCAAGACAGCAAAGGAAAGTAAGAAAGGGAAATGTGAAAATCAAGATTTTGCTCCAAAGGGTGAGGTATGTAAATTAGATGCTGAGAAGAGGGTTGCTTGTAGTGACAGTGAGGTACGTGAAGTTACTGTAAATGTTGAGGCCAAAGTAGAAACCGAGAGTAAAAATACCCCAGATATAAACATGCAAAGAAATCTGAAAGAGGATGGTGTGTCCTTTAAAGATTTCAGTCAATAAAGATATATCTGACCTAGAAATGGTTGCCGCTGTGATGTTAGTAAAAATGCCTTGGTGCTTGTCCATCCTACTTTTGGTGAGTATAATTATTATATTTTCTAGGATGAATGATTAGCTGTGTCCAATTATGGGTACAACAAGACAATCTTTCAGTCTCTAAATATTGTTTAATTTAACCTGGTTCGAACAAACTTACTATAACATTCAATAAGACATACATGTGAGTGTGTGTAAATTTTGATAGGTCTTTGTATACTTGTATGCATACATACACTAGTTTATATGGAGAGAAACAAATTTGCATACACATCATTAAACACATACTTTCATAGATAAATACTCTAGTGGTAAATTCAACAAACATAATTTATATAAACTTGCTTAAAATGTATCTTTTATAATGAGATGTGTAGTCAACTGTTTATAAAGGGTTTTATTCATGTTTTTTTGTAGAATATTTAATTGAGTCTTGTCATTATTATAATGTAAAAATATTTATAATTATGTTTTCAGACAAACAAATTATATTGGGTCTCCTAATGATTATTTTTCTTATTAAATTTTCAAGATACAGTACATGATTTCAGCAATTTGATTTGCTTGATGAATTGTTATTTTTTCTGATAGTAAATAATAAGATTGGCTTAATTGAACTACAGTGGTACCTCGGAATGCGATTGTCCCTGTATGCGAGGTTTTCGGAAGGCGAGCAGTATTTACTCCAAAAATTTGTCTCAGAAGGCGAGGGTTACTTCGGGACGTGAGTTTGTTGATACGCGTACAGGCCGGCCTAGCGCGTGGTGGTTCGGCGATCGTCGCCCCTCCGCCCCGCCGCCCCTCAGTTTACCATTGTCTCGCGCTCAGTGACTACCCCCACATCAATTCTTCTCGCGGATTTTCAGTGTTTTGTTGGATTTTTGGTGATTTGTCTATACAATTTGTTATTATATATCTCACCATGGGTCCCAAGAAAGCCAGTGGTAAGGATAAAGGCCAGAAAGCTCATGTGAGGATGACAATAGAGGAGAAACAAGAGATCATTCGGAAGCATGAGAATGGTACACGTGTTGTTGAACTTTGTAGGCAGTACAACAAAGCCACATCAACAATATGCACTATACTTAAGAAGAAAAATAAGATTATGGGTGCTAAAGTGGCAAAAGGAGTAAGAACATTAACGGCACAAAGACCACAAATACTTGAAGAAGTGGAAAAGTTGTTATTAATTTGGATACACGACAAGGAGTTGAGGGGTGATAGTGTTTCGGAGGCCATTATTTGTGAGAAAGCCAGGGTGTTGCACGAAGACCTTCTAAAGAATACCCCTGCAACGAGTGATGCAGATAAGAAAGAGTTTAAGGCAAGCAGGGGCTGGTTTGAAAAATTTAGAAAGAGAAGTGGTATCCATAGTGTTACAAGGCATGGGGTTATGTGATGTGATTATGGAAGGGGACTCCCCTTCCAAACAGTAACTCCTCTCCTCCTCCCCCCTCCTCACCATCTTCCATACGCCTACAGCACTCGACAGCAAGGTAAGTAATAACTGGAACACAGTTTTGTAGGTTTATTTAGATGAATTAGGTATAAAAATTTAGTTTGATGTGGGGTTTTTGGGGTAGTCAGGAACGGATTAATTCATTTCCCTTTATTTCTTATGGGGAAATTAACTTCGGAATGCAAGTTTTCGGAAGGCGAGGCGTCTCCAGGAACGGATTAAACTCTTATTCTGAGGTATGCCTGTATTGTGAAAGTAGATTTTAACACACACACAGATAACATATTTTTTTTACAGCAATTTGTAATAGGGTGGTGCTATGTTAGATAAATATATGAATTACTTTTCCCTTGCAAATAGATGCGGCATGCAGTGTGATCAAGAGCAGACCTAAAACAGTGAGTTGAAAGCTTCTGTAAATATGCTTAGTCCTATCATAAGTTGCCATAAACACACGCTCAGAATGATGGACACCCATTATGCTCTTTGTTGTGCAATACAATTTAGGGGGGAAAAATGCTCATCCCACACCTCTGCCCTTGTAGTTTTGTGTCCATGACAAAGTGATTTTTGTTGTTCCAAGTGCTAAAGCTGCATGGTTTAGGACAGGCATGTCAAACATGCGGCCTGTGGCCCATGTGGCTAGCTGCTAAACAATTTGTATTCACAGTGTATGTTTCTAAGTTCAAGTAATAAAAATATTCTGCAATAATTGTTATTAAATGAGTTCAATTAGTTGTGGTGTGTGTGGTTCACATGACAACACAAATGTGACCCATATGGCCCTTGGGGGGACCCTCAGTTGTGGTGCGTGGCTCTTGTGACAACACAAATGTGACCCATATAGCCCTCGGGGGACCCTCAGTTGTGGTGTGTGGCCCTCATGACAACACAAATGTGACCCATATGGCCCTTGGGGGGACCCTCAGTTGTGGTGCGTGGCTCTTGTGACAACACAAATGTGACCCATATAGCCCTCGGGGGACCCTCAGTTGTGGTGTGTGGCCCTCATGACAACACAAATGTGACCCATATGGCCCTTGGGGGGGACCCTCAGTTGTGGTGTGTGGCCCTTGTGACAACACAAATGTGACCCATATGGCCCTTGGGGGACCCTCAGTTGTGGTGTGTGGCCCTCATGACAACACAAATGTGACCCATATGGCCCTTGGGGGGGACCCTCAGTTGTGGTGTGTGGCCCTTGTGACAACACAAATGTGACCCATATTAGCCCTCGGGGGACCCTCAGTTGTGGTGTGTGGCCCTCATGACAACACAAATGTGACCCATATGGCCCTTGGGGGGGACCCTCAGTTGTGGTGTGTGGCCCTCATGACAACACAAATGTGACCCATATTAGCCCTCGGGGGACCCTCAGTTGTGGTGTGTGGCCCTCATGACAACACAAATGTGACCTATATAGCCCTCGGGGGACCCTCAGTTGTGGTGTGTGGCCCTCATGACAACACAAATGTGACCTATATAGCCCTCGGGGGACCCTCAGTTGTGGTGTGTGGCCCTCGTGACAACACAAATGTGACCCATATGACCCTCGGGGGACCCTCAGTTGTGGTGTGTGGCCCTCATGACAACACAAATGTGACCTATATAGCCCTTGGGGGGCCCTCAGTTGTGGTGTGTGGCCCTCATGACAACACAAATGTGACCCATATGACCCTCGGGGGACCCTCAGTTGTGGTGTGTGGACCTCGTGACAACACAAATGTGACCCATATAGCCCTCGGGGGACCTCAGTTGTGGTGTGTGGCCCTCATGACAACACAAATGTGACTCATATGGCCCTTGGGGGGGACCCTCAGTTGTGGTGTGTGGCCCTCATGACAACACAAATGTGACCCATATGGCCCTTGGGGGGACCCTCGGTTTGTGACATGCCTGGTCCAGAATGTTATGGCGAGCTTGACTGAATTAAAATTTGTGTAATGTTTCTGGAGCAGCTAAATATAACATTGATAACGTGGTAGTGTGAATTGTACTGTACGAACGGTGTCCACATGGCAGATTTAGAATGCAAGAGGGCGTAAGGAAATTGTTGTAATTGTTGAACAAATTTGAGGTGATAGCTAAGTAAAATATTTTAGCCTCCATATCTGAAATGCTCTCCCCATACTTGTATACACATTTCAGTATGTACAGGATTGGTTTATCAGGTTATCTGCTTATACATCAGTAACACAACTTTATATAGACTTTCTTAGTCAGTGTTCAATTTATTTTGAGTTAGAAACAAAGCAACAGTTTCTCTGATCTAATAGTTTTCATTGTAAGGAACTGCATGACTTGCTTGCACCATGTTAGGGGGATATCATATTTTTATTATTTGATATTTGTATAAGTTTCAAAGTTTTATTGTTTCATATTTTTACTACTGTATTTCAAAGTTATATTATTTCATATTTTTATTATATGCCAGTGAGGATGTAGGACAAGTGGCAGAGAAACTCGGGTTTTGTATGTTTATTTTTCATGCTAAGGTTTTAATTAACATAAGAAACATATTTTAAAACCCTATTTCCCAGTGAAATGGATGGATGACTATATTAACAATTTCTGGTATAAATTCAGTTTTATAGCTACAGTGTGTTAGCCTGTGTTTAATGCATGCTCATGCATATATATGTCATGTTTTCATATATGTAAATCTTCATTTGTATACAGTAGACATACATGAATGTACAAATTTAGGCTTTCCTTATGTACCAGGAATTTGTTGTCCATGAATTGCATTTATTCTAAACTTGGGAAAAGCAAGATAGGTTCCTGAGGCCGCCTATCTCTCCCATCTTCACTAAATAATGAGAAAACCAAACTTTACACTATAATGCTACGGAGCTCATCATGGTCAACACTGGCCAGACTAGTCAACAAGTGTGGACTCCAAAACTTGAGACAAATGACTATGATGGTGCATGGTCCACTGCTGTATCTTACCAATCCTGGCAATTTTTGCTGCTTTAATCCTTTCAGTGCTGAGTTTAAAAATGCTGACCTTGCTGTACTGAGTTTTTCATTGTCAAAGAGTTGGACAAAATTGTATACATAGTTTATTAATTATACCAATTTTTTTAGAATTGGACTTAAACCAAATATATTCACCATACTGAACTTCAAAATGATGTTAAAAAAAAAAGCAGGGTTCATCACCACTTAGGTAGAAATTTCTCTAGAATAGCAAAAACCTTCTCACTATCTTTATCATATACAGTAAATGAGAAGTTTTAAAATTTATAATCACCTGTCCAATATATATAGTGTACATAATTTGTTTTTCAAGACAAATCTAATAACTCTCTGCCATGGTATCTTGAGTGTCACTGCCAGTGTGATCACCTCACTCAAGGCACTTCTTAGTAGCACTGGACATGGCTGCCAGATGAAAAATTCTGCCGTACTAAATGAAATGAGTAAATGTCAACTGATATAGAATATAGGAGACTCGTATCATATTTTTTACGGCTCATGCACCCAGTTAATACTTTTTCACAGTACAGTGTATTGATGCTATACATTACAAAAAGAGTTACTCTATTTAGCCATTGTATGGAGGCTGAAAATTCTTCTGTAGTGCAGATGCTTGCCAGTCTGTGATGAATAAATTCAGGCTTTTCTTTAAATCAGTGTTGAAACTTGAAGCTCAATTGTTGCTCACTAAAATCATTATGGATTGTTCAGTCTCTTCATACTGTCTGCCTTAGCTTGGCTTAATTTTCATTGCAACCATCTCATGCAATACTTTAGCACAGGTATCATTTGCAGAGAGTCAAATGCTTCCACTTTTCTGGGGGGAGCCCCGTCGGCTCCCCGGAGCTTTACCGGCTGATATGCTAATGTCAGACTTTGGCATCAGTCATGTGTATGGAGTTCTAGGGCCTACCGGGGACCACGAGCCAGAACCTGGCCCCCTCAGAGAGGCAAGGGGAGCAATGGCCTATAGAAACCCCCGTGTGGTTGGAAGCATTCTATGTCTGCCATCGACCGGGTCAAGCATCCAGAAAGGTAAGCATTCCAAAACAAACCCCTATTCTGGTGAAAATTGCTACCTAAGCCGAACTAGTGAATAGAACTCTTCAACAGAAAACACGGAAACTAGTATGACGTCATACGTCACCGCGCCGCTGTCTGCGCAGCTCCCCCCTCCCCGGGAGGGGGAAGGGGGAGCCCCAGACCTCCCACGCCGGCTATCCACCCATCAGTTCTTCGGCTGATGCTATAGGCAATGGTTATGTGCTCCGGCTCCAGTGGTTGTTTCAGCACTGTACCTA